GCCTTGGGTTCTGACTGACCAGGAAGAAGAGCATTCAGTGGAAACATGCCATGCTTTGAAAGAACAGCTCCAAAGCGACCCAGACTCCCCCCCCTCCCAAGGTCCTTACTAGTGACAAGACATCGTGTTATTCTTACAACCTCTAAAGCAAACATTAATCAAGGCAGTGGAAGATGCCATCGTCACCTCACCCCCATAAAAGCTCATCAAGTGAAATCAAAGATCAAGATGCTCATTTGTGTTTTTGGTGTGAGGGAGATAGTGCATTTGGAGTTCATTCCACCTGGTCAGACTGTTAACCAAACTTTCTATTTGGAGGTTCTGAAAATATTGTGTAACAGTGTGTGATAAAAAAGCCCTGATTTGTGGCAGGTGGGGGACTGGTTTTGCCACCACGACAAGGCAGCTGCTCATGCAGCTGTCTCAGGGCACTAGTTTCAGGCAAAAAACGGCATGCCTGTCTTGCACCACACACCTTACTCACCTGAGCTCACTCTGTGTGACTTCCTTTTGTTTCTGCAAATGCAGAGGGACATGAAAGGACAGTGATTTGAGGATGTAGAAGAGGTGAAGAAAAAAATGAGGGAGGTGCTGTAAGCTATCCAAAGAGATGAGTTCGAAAAATGTTTCCAAGAATGAAATTGTGGCTTTGACAAATGTATTAAGTGTAATGGAGAAAACTTTGAAGGTGATACAGCTGTTTTGTAAAAAAAAAAATTAAATACATAGCTTTGAAAAAAATCCATTTTTTGAGTACTCCCTCATATGTGCCAGTCATAATAAAGCAAGGTGGGCATTAAAATAGTAAATCTCTGGTGGTTCTGGGCCACCCTTCATTGGGCACCCAAAAAGCAAGGGATCCAAACCCATTCCACAGCCTTGGGGGAGCAGTCATCTGTTTTTTCTCACACCAGGGAGGTTCAGTCTTAACCCCCCAGGGCTACAGGTAAGTTTACAGTAAAACCAAGTTAATTCAGTGGGGTTTCCACACCGAGTCCTTCTGGTGTGGCCTCTGAAGGACGCTGTGTTCCCTGAAAGGACAGCATCTAAGGCCACTGTAGTTCATAGCACATGGCTGCATAGAAACTAGATCAGAAATGTATAACCAGGAACATAGTACCGGGCTTATTCTCCCCTTGGGTTCTGTACACTTATTTTTGAGCCTCTCTTTCGGATGTGAGCTGCTCCTGCCAATTCACCAACCAACAGAAGTGTAAATGCCTCCTTTGAGAATGGAATTGCAGACTTGACAAATGTATTAAGTGTAATGGACAGTACTTTGAAGGTGATAGGTGCTCCTCTTTCCTAATCTTGACTTTCCATTAAGTTTGCCCTATCATTCCTATGGGAGTGTCTGTGGATTTGGCATGGCCTTAGGCTTATTATTTGGCTGTAATCTGCATGGTGGGAAGTCTGGAAACCACTAGCAGCAACATGGGAGAGAGACTAGGCTTTCTACTCCTGTAAATGGTTTCAGTCTGGGAATCCTACAGGGCCGTGCCTATGAGTCAGCATTGACACAAAGGCAGAGAGTGTAGCTTGGCTTCTGTATCCCAGTGTGACATGGCATCAAATGGATGGCCTTCTCCCTTTCTGCCCTTCTTGGAGTGATGTCAGCTGAGGTGAAGTCCTATCGAGGTGGTTCTGAAGATGTGCATACAAGAGGGGTGATGAACGGGTTCAGGGTTGATAGTCAGGCTCTCTACTCCTCTCAGAAGTTTACATGGCACAAGAGCAGAAGCCTGCCTATATCTTGGTGTTTTTTCTTATCGTAGTGGGCTCATACAGTATTTGTTCTTCTGTGATTAATAACTTTACTCAGCATAATAGTGTCATGGGGTGTTTGCTATAGGGTTTTCTTGGCTGTAATTTTTATGGAAAGAACCCTTACTGAAGCTGGGAGTTAGGCATGGGCTCCTCAGGAGGAAGATGAGGCTGTCTGCTTGGTAAAGATTTACAGCCTCAGAAACTGTGTAGAGTCCATATGAGTTGGAATCGACTGGATAGCAAGGGGTTTGATTTAGTTTGTTAATTTTTATGAAAACCGATCACCAGGTCTTTTTTTTCTGTGGCAATGCTGGATGAGCTTGAACCACCAGCCCTTAGATTAGTAGAGTGTCTAAGTGTCCCTTATCGATGTCTAAGTGTCCCTTAACGATGTCCAAGCAGCTTCAAACTGCTGAAGTATCCCAAAGAACTCAAGAGTAGTTGGAAGAGAATAAGAAGGGAGATCACTAGTAATGGGGGAAAGTCTGGAATGGATAGATTTTAAACCTTACGTGAATAAGAAAACCTCATGGCCACTAAGCTCATTCAAATTGGTTAACTTTCTATCCACCACTAGGTAGACTAGGGGAGAGTAATCAACAAAATTTTTATAAAAAAGAAGCTTCCTGTCTGCACACTTGAGGTTGTGGTCTGAGAAATCTGTGTGCTGCATATGATGGCTATAGCTGAAAAAGAATACAAGTTATAGACCAATATTTTAAAAATTAGGTGCTTCTTCCATTCACTGAAGAAGCTTTGGTGGGTTACATATTGGGTTACTAACCATGAGGTTAGCAGTTTGAAACCACCAGCTGTTCCACATGGGGTAAGATGAGGCTTGCTGCTTCTGTAAAGATTTATAGTCTTGGAAACTCATAAGGGCAGTTCTACTCTATCCTATAGGTCATTATGGTCTGGAATCGACTTGATAGCAGTTATTTTGTTTGGTTTCCATTCACTTGAAAAATATCACCAGGAACTATCTTTAGAGCCATTATAAAGCCTGTGTCCTTTGAGAAACACCTCCTTTCAAAACAAAACCCCAAATCATATGTTACAGCCATGGCTCTGAATGTTTGTCATTTCCGAAGCCATTATACAATAATGTAATTTTCTTTGCACTTCCTCTCCCTCTTCAGGGAGATTCAGCAAATGGATACGATGGGAAGCCCAATGACAAAGATCAAGAATGGGCTGGAATGGAACATTCCAGATTGTACAGAGTTTGATAGAGCCAAAACATTTTACGAAGATGTTAAGTTGATTCTAACTCATGGAGACCTCAAGTGTGCCCAGTGGAAGGGTGTGCCATAAGGTTCCCAAACCATATTGTGCCCAAAGGCCCAAAGTCCTTAAGTGCCACACATCCATTACACTTTTATATGTCAATTAAGCCTATAAAGCTGTTGTTAAAAACAAACAAACTCTTGTCCTCCTGTTACCTGTCCTTTACTCTGTTCTACATACCTTCCATATCATTAGAGTCTCCTACAAGATAACCCACCCCCCAAACCACACCTGTTGTCCTTGAGTGGATTTTGGCAGATAGTGGCCATATTAGAGTTGTCTCATTGAGTTTGAAACTGTAAATGTTTATGGGAGCAGAAATTCTCATCGTTAGATTTTAAATATGCCTGAGCAATAGATGAGCATGAGAATTGTCCTTATCCCCAGAACCTCCAAATCAAACCCAACTCACCATCACTGAGTCTATACCAACTCATAATGACCTATAGGGCAGGGTAGAACCGTCCATTATGGGTTTCTGACACTGTTAATCTTTACGAGAGCAGCAAGCCTCATCTTTATCCTTCAGTGTGTCTGGTGGGTTCAAAGTGCTGCTCACCTTGTCGTTAGCAGTTCAATTCATAACCCACTATATATATACTACCAGGACTCCTTAGCCTCCAGGCAATCTAGGCATCCAATTCATCGTACATGGCTAAGGTCTGGCTCCCTCCTAAGGTCTTAAGAAGGGAAGTACATAATGTAAAGTGGGCCAGGGAGATGGGGCTCATTATCATTAGAGTTTCGACTCTGATTTTTCTCATTCTGCCACGCCTCAAGGGAAATATTAGAAGCTCCAAACAGCTGACTTCAACCTTAAGATCAGGCCATACTGGAGATCCCCTTGCAGAGGGCTCTGGGGAGGAGATGAGCCAGTCAGGGTGAAATGTAACAACGATGAAAAATACAACTTTCCTCTAGTTCCTAAATGTTTCCTCCCTGCTCCCACTATCATGACACGAATTCTACCTTGCAAGTCTGGCTAGACCAGAGGATGTACACTGGTACAGATAGGAACTGGAAATACAGGGAATCCAGGGCGGATGATCCCTACAGGACCAGTGGAGTGAGTGGCGATACTGGGAGGGTAGAGGGAGAGTGGGTTGGAAAAACGGAATCGATTACAAGGAACTATGTGTGACCTCCTCCCTGGGGGACGGACAACTGAAAAGTGGGTAAAGGGAGATATGACAAAATAACAATTTATAAACTCTCAAGGGCTCATGAGGGAGGGGGAGCAGGGAGGGAGGGGAAAAATGAGGACCTAATGCCGGGGGTTTAAGTGGAGAGAAAATGTTTTGAGAATGATGTACAAATGCGCTTTACACAATTGATGTGTGTATGGATTGCGATAACAGTTGTATGAGGCCCTAATAAAATGTTTTAAAAAAAAGTATCAGGCCAGGAGTGCTCCAGAGGAGGCTACCACTAGTCCTTGTCCAGCCAGGAAGAGAAGTTAGCACTTTGAACAAAGTGAAAGAAAGACCAGGCTTTAGGCAGTGGTTCTGAACCTAATGCCCCAGTGACCCTTTCATACAGTTCCTCATGCTGTGGTGAATCCCCAACCATAAAATTATTTTTGTTGTTACTTCATACCTGTAATTTTGCTAGTTATGAATTGGGTGATTCCCGTGAAAGGGTCTTTCAGCTCCCCACAGGGGTCATGACCCACAGGTTGAGAACCGCTGCTTTAGGGCAAAAGACTTCAGTTCTGGTCTTGGCTCTGCCCATAACCACATGATTGTGAGACGCTCACTAATGTTTTCAAGAGTTTAGTTTATCTTTCTCGAAAATGTGTGCATTGGAGAAATTATTCAAGGATCCTCTCCGGATTAAAACTCAACTTCTAGTCTCAGGGCATTCAATGTAGATTGCACACACAAATCACAGTAGAAAGTTTATTAAAAATGTCAAATATGCCCCCACAGGTTCTCTCTTTGTCATCACAGGTCTGCCTGCTCAACTCACTGGCAGATAGCAGTCAGGAGACGCTCAATCAAACAGGTGCCCTGAGACGCAGGGCCAGAAGCGCCTTCTCAGGAACCGTGGACCAGAGGCTGCAGCAGCAGCAGCAGCAGCAGCGGTGGCAGCAGGCACTCTAAGCCCCAGGCTGGAACAAGCAGCCAGGTGGCCCCATTTTCAGCCTTTCGGAGTTGAACAACAGTCTGCTGTGGACACACTTCCTTCACCTCCAAGACTCCAACGCCAAATAGCCTAGACATCAGCCTGCAACCATTCACGCCTATACAGCCCTGGACCTCCACAGTGGAATTCATGCCTCCTGTGGAACAAGGAAGGGTGGGGAGACAGATGGATGTTTCATGAAATCACAGAGGAATCCAGTCTGGCATCCCGAGTATGAGAGCCTCCTAGGGCCCACACAGGTGGCTGGGGTTCACTTTACCTCCAGTGATCTTCAGTTTTCCTTGATAACATCGGCTAGTGCCACTGGGACAGGGGAGAGAAGGTGCCTTTGAACAGTTTCCCAAAGCCACACAAGTCGGGCAATAGAGGGTTGACGGTCTAGTGGGAACTGGAGGGAGAACAAGAGGGTTAGTGACACGGGTTTCCTGCCTCTTGAGATCTTTCTCCTTGCTGCCTTCTCTTCCCTAGGTCCTTCCTCCAGATGCTACTCTAATCAAGGTCCATGACAGCAACACCTGTGCTCTTTTTCAATCTTCTTTGCTGAAAAAGCCCCGCTGCTGAAAGTGAAGAGGAATTGAAGCACTTGCTGATGAAGCTCAAGGATTGTAGCCTTCAGCATGGATTACAACTCAATGTAAAGAAGACCAAAATCCTCCTAACTAGACCAATAGGTAACATCGTGATAAATGGAAAGAAGGTTGAAGTAGTCAAGGGTATTGTCTTACACGGATCCACAATCAATGCTCATGGAAGCAGCAGTCAAGAGATCAAAAGATGTATTGCCTCAGGTACATCTGCTGCACAAGACTTCTTTAGAGTAGTGAAGATCAAGGATGTTACTTTGAGGGCTTAGGGGTGCCTGACCTAAGTCATGGTATTCTGCATTGCCTCATCTGCATATGAAAGTTGGACACTGAAGAAAAAAGGACTGACGCATCTGAATTGCCCGTGCTGGAGAAGAATGTTGAAAGTACCATGGATTGCTCCAAGGACAAGCCAATCTTTATGGGAAGAAGTAGGGCCAGAGTGCGCTTTAGAGGCAAGGATGGCAAGACTTTGTCTTACATACTTTGGAAATGTTATCAGGAAAGACCAGTCCCTGGAGAAAGACATCATGTTGGGTAGAGTGGAAGGGCAGCATAAAAGAGGAAAGCCCTCAATGAGATGGACTGACACAGTGGTTGCATCACTGGGCTCAGGCAGAGTAACCGTTGTGAGGATGGTGCAGGGCTGTGCAGTGTTTTATTCTGTTGTGCATAGTTGCTATGGGCCAGGGTTGACTCGATGGTACCTAATAACAAAAACAAACAAAAGAACCCCACACAACATGGCTTCCAAACTCTGTGCTTAGGCGAGCAGAGAGATGTAAAGACACACTTTCTACCATCTAGGATCCCTGTCTAGAGAGACATGTAAATAGTTACAATACAATTCAATAAGTACTGTGTTTGAAGTACGAAGGCAGAGCAAGAGAGGCATAACTCAGTGTACCTGGAATAATTTGATAAGTATTTCCAAAGAGCTGATACTTGAATTGAGAAGGATGGAAAGTAGGAGGTAGCTAAATGAAAATGGAGGGAGGGATAAACGTAACAAGGCTAAGGCCAGGCAATGTGAACAAGCTCGGTAAAGTTTGGGACTGATGAGAAGCTGCAGGGTTGATATTCAGTTGGCAGGTCCGGGTATGGATGACCTGGATTTTGTGGGCAGCCTCTATTATGATTGACCAATACCATCTCCACTGTATTTTCAGTACCAACCCCAAGTCGAACACAATGAATTTAAGAGCAGGAAGAATGATAAATTAAGCAAAAAGGTAGCAAGGGCTAGCTGGAGAGTTGGGTTAGTGTCACCCAGAAATGGGGAACCAACAATTGTTTAGATTAACATTGGCAGCACCCTGCCCAGAAACCTACACTGGCATCTCATTGTCTACTAAATACAAAACTCGGCTTATACACTGTCACTGATATCTCTTTGCTTGGAACAGTGTTTAGACTCTAATTGTTTTGGTAACAATACAGCAAAAATAAGCAACTGGACTGTGAGGTTCTTTTGTATATCACCCACTGGGGCTTAAGCCCCCCCTCCCCCAAGGAAAAAGAAAACAAAGACAAAAGATATACAATCTTTTTAACTGTTTATGGAATTTCTCTTCACATCCATCTCTCTCTTCCCCATATACCTGTTTGCCCTTTTAGCATCCAAGATGGGTATATGCCCCTTTTGTCGTTGCAATAGGACTCTTCACAATAGTTAGTGAAGGAGACTGCCAGCAAGCCCGGGCTTGGGGTGTGTTGGATAAAGGTTGTCTGTGCCATTGTTCCAGAGATGCAGCCCTTGGTAGCGATAATGGCAGACTTAGGCCCTGTTATGAGACAGAAGGAAAAGACAGTGGATGGTGAGTTTGAAGGCTGAGCAGGGCTGGAATAAGTCATGTAAGAGCCCTAGACATTGATCATCTGTGGTGCTCCCTTTTCTGTTTACTCACACATTTGAATTAAATATATATGAATTGAATATATATATATGTTTACCTTATATACATGGGACACCCTATTCACTTATTGACTATTTTATTATCCAACATGTTTGCATTTATGACAACAGAAAAAAGAACAGATTATTTTTTGCATTAAAGAGGGACTGGGTAGAAGGGGGAAGAGGGGGAGAAGGAGGAGAGTAAGGTTCATGAGAGGGAAAAAGGCCATGGTGGTTGGTGTTATCTGGGTCAGGTAGAGAAGATGTGCCAGGCCTGTGGCCAGTGTGGGATGGTCAGGCCACAAGAGTAGGATTGAGGGGCACAAAGAGGCATTTCTGTCACCTCCACACCCTTTACTGGGCCCAATAGGCCAGGCATCATCTTCCTGCCACTTGTCAGTTTGGGTGAGGCCTGGCGCATGGCCAGGGGTTGGTGGGTCTCGATGTTGAGAAATATGCATTGTATTTCTACTAGGCAATTATACCTGCCTACATGAGTACACTTGTCTTTTCTGAAACTCTTCTCAGTGAGAATAAAATTCTTGCACTTCTCCATAAAGGTCTTTACCTAGTTATTGAAATAAGCCTGTGCTTATTTCTTAGAAAGAAGCCCTGGTGGTGTAAGGAGCAATGCATTGAGGGGCCTAGCCACAAGGTCAGTGGTTCAAATCTCCCAGTCGTTCTGAGGGAGAGAGATGAGGCTGTCTGTTCCTGGAAAGATTTAAAGTTTTGGAAGCCCAAAGGAGCAGTTCTACTCTATCTTATAGGATCACTAAGAGTTTTGAGTTAATTTTTTGGATGCTTTCATGCATTCTATATCAGGTATAGCCACAGTTTAAGAAAGAAAAACCATGTGAAAGAACTTCAAATGCTTTCACGCTTCTTTTCATGCCAAATTCATGTGTTAGCAATGATCTAATATGAGATTCTATAAATTCATCTCTGACTCTGTGGTAGTTACATAATCTGGTGTTACTTTGGGACTTGAGAGGATTAAGAGTGAAGGGGTGGAATCTAGTCTGTCAATTGGGTCATAGTCAATGAGGCCTCTGTGTGGGCATGGCCTTTTCCTGAGGCTTCTGGGAATTCCTGAATTTCCTCCTTGGAGGTGGGAGACACTGTTTTTCTCTGCTCACTCCCTTGGAGACTCTCTACTGACAAGACACATGGCACTATGCTGACAGACTCCATGCCCTGGGAATTGGAGGAGCCACATGGAGACCCCTGCCTTTTCTGAGATGCTTCTACTGCCACTGGATCCACAAGACTTTGCACCCACTGGCCTGTGATCTTCCTGCATTTGGCATCATTTCATGTGTTCTGTGAGTCTGAAGAGGACTTTATAGATCAGTAAGGCACATATGGGCTAATATTGGATTTACGCACTTGATCTGGTCTGGGCTGGGATGTTTTCTCAATATTCAATTGCTCTTGTATATAAACCTCTTTCTTATACACATATGAGTGTCTATGAATTTGTTTATCTAGTCTACCCTGACACAAACTCCCAATAATACTTCCAGAACACTTCTATAATTTACTTGTGTCTTTCTAAAGCTTCTGCAAAGGTGAACTGAAGCTGGTATCAATTTCATTTATTTAGTGCTTTTGGCTTTCTTGTCTTTAAAAAAATTATTGGGCTATAATCAACACAGATTTCTCATCTTTATTCCACATTCTTCATAGTAAAATTCTAAGTGACAAAACAAAGAACATACTTATTCCATTTTACCCACTGCCGTCAAGTCAATTCCGACTCACAGCATCACACTCTATACAACATGAGAACTCCCTTCTCATCAATTTCATTCAGTGTTTTGTTAGGGTTCTTCCACCGTGGTGCTCATTGTTCCCGTGTCTTGTCTGCTTCACATCTAGGGGGGCAGGGCGTGCGTCTCTTGCTTTGGACAACTGGTGCCCATTTTGCTGAAGCCATAAGCACCTCTTGACCTTGTTTATTGAGTAATCTGTCCCTGAGTGTGGGCTGATGAAGACGGAAAACACACTCCAGATGCATATAATCAAGGAGCCCTGGTGGCAAAGTGGTTACATGTTGGGCTGCTAACTTTAAGGTCAGAGGTTCAAAACCATCAGCTTCTCCAGGAGAGAAAGACAAGGCATTCTACTCCTATAAAGAGTTACAGTCTTGGGAACCCAAGGGGGCAGCTAAACCCTGTCCTATGGTGGTTGTTATGGGTCCAAATGGACTCAATGGCAGTGAACTTGGTGTGCATTTTTTTAAATGTACATAACCACCCTCCAGGGCTCCCAATTCAATGGCCCATTCTCACTTTACCTGCTGTAATAACCAGAAGGGTTTCTTGACAAAATTCTCCATCGTCACAAGTCTCAACTTGCTCTGTGGTCCAGTTAAATGTATTAACTGGGTCTTCTTCTATATCCATGTAAATACCCTTGTGACAATCCAAACGAGTGGCCACTTTGGAGAAAACAAGATAAAGATAAGAACTTGCTCTGCTCTGTGGGACGAAAGTCACTTCCTTTTCACCATATCCCACTCCCATCCCCCTTAGCCCCTGGCCCTTGGCCTGTGACCCTGTTGCTTCCTCATGGCCCCATCTTTCCATACATACAGTTCAGGGAGGAGGCTCCTAGAAGGAAGAGGAACAGCAAAGTGTGGTCTTGACAGGCTCCCATGGCCTCTTTTAGAGAGGTTGGGAGAAGTTGATTAGGATCTGTGGTTTAATGGAGAAGAGAAAAACGTTTAAACTGAAAGAACCATACTAAATCTTTGTCTGGCAAGGCCTAACTTTTTTTCTGCTAAAATCTTTTTACTGGGAGCTAATACAGATATCATTCCATAGTCCAATCACATCAAGCAGTATTGTATAATTGCTACCACAACCAGTTTCAGAACATTCTCGTTCTTCTTAACTCCTTGATATTATCTCCCCTTTATCCCCCACCATCACCCACTTTAGGTCCTCCCCAGGTACCCTTATTCTACTTGCTTTCCCTATAGGTTCATCAATCCTGGGTTTCACATACCGAAAACCAGAAAAACATGTAACAAAAGTTCCAGAGCATACCCTCAATGACAGGATACTTCAGAGTTAAACCGCAATAGGCAGAGAAAAAGAAAA